CAGTGGTCCACACTCTCACCAATGGCTTTTAGTTTTCTGAACTTAGCGAACACCTGATCAGAGTTGTGGCACAGGAAACTGGAATGTGCAGAAGGGTGTAAATAGGAGTGAGACAGGAAGTCAGGAATTGGCATCTGCAATAAGACTCTGACACACTTATACATTTTTGGTCTTCCTTCCTTTGGAGATCAACGCATTCTCTTGTCTTGCTTAGCCTCCCAACATCAGACGCTCTGCTGATTATCCTCTTAATTTTTATGTTGAAGACTATAATGTTCAATTTCTGACTGTCAAGGGAATATTTTTGTCATCAAGTGGCTTATGACTGGGAGACAAGTGCACAGTGAGCTGTGCTGTGCATTCTCCGCACATCATTTCATCACAAGGTATCACCAGAAGGCAGCGAGAAACGTGCAGAATGTTAGATAATGAGAGAGCCGCTCCCGCCCTCGACACAGCTGACACTGATTTGTCTCTGCCGCCTCCCATGAACGCGCATGCTGCCCGTTAAATTTTTACTTTAAAGTGTTCTGCTTAGTTATGGATAGTGTGAAATATTTATGTATTCCCCCTGACCCATCCAGATTTTCTAAATTACACGATAGCCTTTCCTGTGGACCTTTCCAAATGCTCTCTGAAAGTTCCTGGGGAAGGAATGATTGCACTTCAAAGTCCGGGTTGTTGTTTCATCTCTTTAGGCTGCTTTTTATCAATTTCCAAGAGAGTTAAAGCTGCAAGATGACAATACTTCAAACAAAAGGCAATTATTTCAAAAGCGTTACCAAATAATGAGAGCCAATCAGTGTTCACACGTTTGGAACTTGTGTCCTTTTCTTCTAGACCTTGAAGTCCGTCAGTTTTCCCTGAGACTTTCACGTCAGTGGGCATCTGGAGTGTGTCATAGTTGCACCTGATTTCTGCCTCCCACAACACATGTGGTTTGCTCCTGGTGTTTATCCCTGGAGTGGCAGGGTTTGGATGCGCCAAGCCTCTTTTCATCTTTAAAGGGAATGTTTTTTGCATACATTATTATCTTTCTGGGTGTGAATTATGATGCTTCTCCTTTTATATATGCTTTAGAAATTATGTGTAAATGCTCATTCTTCTAGATTATTTTGTTCTCTGAAGGTATTGTGTATCTTATTCAAAAGTATATAATTTTCTTCTATGCTATATAGTCTATTAGTTTTGAGTCTGCTTTGCAAGTTTTCATCAACATTTTACAATTGCTCAGAAATATGCACCATATTTTTAAATATGAAAACTTTCTTAATTTAGTATACTTTGTTTTTCACTTATATAAAGGTATTTTAATGTATACAAGACAGCAATAAATATTATTCAGTAGAGTCACACAGATGTTTATTTTTATTTTGAAAATATGAACATAGAAAAGTACATAAGGAATGAATGGATACTCAGTATCAAATAATAAAACTAATTTACTTAAAAAATAGAGACAGGGTCCTGGCATGCCTAAGACAAGAGGTATGCAAATGAACATGACCATGCAAGGGAGATGCTTGTTACTCTGTGTGGTTCTTACCTTGGAAAGGGAGCAGGGGATGCATAGGTTCAGGAGACTGAGATGAGTCTCCAATGTAGAGAGTGTGCTGCTTTCTTGGGGCAAGGAGGAACATGCTTTTCCAGAACAGAGAAGTGGAGAGGCAAGTGGAGACCATCGTCGTTAGTGTGTGCTTCACACCACTGCTCAACAGTGTCCATGCCACGAGGAAGAATGAACAAAGCCTATCATCATGAGTGGGTAATTCATGCCCGTGCTCTTCCATCTTTGCTGCATGGCGAGCTTTATATCGGCTTTCTGTTTTCAGACAGAGAACTGAGAAACTCAATGGAAGAACTGGGAAGTAAATAGAAAGTTACCCAAAGAAATTAACCCAGGTTGCTGGCCTCCAAAACTCATCACTACCTGCTGGCTACTTTATATTTGATCTCTTACCTACAACAGGAAGGAAGGTATTCCCATCTTGCTAAGTTAGCCCAGAGTCCATTTCCTGCTTTATTTTCTGAGACTATGTGACATTACTTTTCTCTCATTCTACACAGCATGTTCCCTAAAATTGTATTAAAATATCCTGTTACCTTTCAAGGAACCAAGATAACCATAAAGAATACCTGGCTAGGAATTTATTTCTACAGCTTTTTAGTTGTGTGAATAGAGTGGTAATTTAACCACTATCTAACTCCATTTTGTTTATTGATAAAAATGGGAGTTGTAGCTCCCATTTAATGATTGACTGGAGTAATAAAGCAAATATACTTGATAATGAAAACAATACATTGCATGTTTTAAATTGCTGTTATTATTCTTACCACAATGACTACAAAGCTGCTAAGTTTCCTCTTTGACAAAACTTGTTTAACTTTGGCCACTCTCTTTACAGTGAGTTGATTCTCAGGGGACTATTTTTACTCAGCTTTGACTTTTGTGCTGGGGCCTAGAGACACTCACAGGAAATAAAAGTGTTTTGAGCCATTGCTGCTCATTAACTACTGGTCTTGATTGTCTACATTGACTTCAGTTGGTCTTGTTTAGTTCTAGACAATGAAACTTTCTTGTTGGGGGATACTGCTTCTGGGGGACCCAGGCACACAAATTGCTATAACTAGGAAACAAAGGTAAAGTTGGGTAAGAAAAGAACAGCCTAGAAACATAAAGCTCTTATGGCAATGTGTCCTCACTGTGACCAAGGATTTTCCAGTTCCCCCCAGTCTGAGTTTTTACAAAGTGTTAAAATAATAACAATTAAAAATTTGCTTGCAGAATGTTCTCTTTCATTGGCTGCATTTCTGTGTAAGAAGATACCCACAAAACTAGTATTTAAAATTATTACTAAACATAGTAATAACAATGGTATTTTTTTTTAGCTTTTTGAAACAGGGTTTCTTGGTCCTGGAATTAGCTCTTGTAGACAAGGCTGACCTCAAAGTCAAAAAGATCTGCCTATCTCTGCCTCCCAAGTGCTGGGATTAAAGGTGTGTGCCACCATCACCCAGCAACAGTGATGTTTTCTCAAAAAACAAAATTATGTTCATTTACAAAAGTAGATGCAGAGAATTTGTTGATACACTTTCCTAGTTTGCTCAGCCAGTCAAATCTTTTACTTTATATTAATCCAACTATTTTTGATGTATTTAAGCAAGTGTCATAAAATAATATATTTTGTTATTTGTTTAGAGAAAATAAATTATAAGAGGTTGTTAAAGCATCACCACTGAACAGTTACTCGGTTTTTCATTGATATATTAATCTTCCATGTTATGTTATCAAAGCTTTAAGCCAATAAATCATTTATTTCAATGTATATTTTATGAAAGTGATCAGAATTCAAATATTTCACATTGCCCTGGTAATTTACTACAACTTTCTATTTTATTTTTAGTATATGTTATACAGCATAACTGTTATGTGTGATACAGCATAAACTGTTCTTTTGTTTTTCCCTACATAATATTTTAGTTAATTATTTGGGAATTTCATACAATGTACCTTGATCACACTCACTTCCCATCCCTCCCAGGTGTACCCTTCTACCTTTGCACCCACCCCAAAAAACCTAAAACAAATCCAATTTGTGTTGACTGTATACTCACTGGAGCACGGTCAAACTCTCAGTGGTTTGCCCTTTGAGTCCTTCCCCAGCCAATCCTCTTGAGAGAAGCCATGAACTGTGAAGAGCTACACTTTAGCATCTTTATCACAAATTTAAAAGACTCTCTTCAGTAGCTTCCTGTCTGGACTGTCTCCTTTTAGGAGATAGACGCTGGCATAGAAACCCTCAAAGTGCCTCCTTCTCAGTTATGAGCATACAGTCATTGATACCATGGCAGAAGAAGCTTCCTGGCCCATACCAGCAGGCAGCCGAACACATCACAGACCCCAGCATGTTTCCAGCAACAGCATGGGATCACAGACATCAACACGGTGTCTGGCGGTAGCACAACTCCATCATGGACATCAATGTGTTCTCTTTCAATTGGTTCAAATGTCAATCTAACTTGTTGGGTTTTAAATTTAAGGTAGTCCTTATATTAATTTTTCTACCGGAAAGATGCAAGGATAGACATTTTCTACTTTGTAGAAGGAACTTCAGAGTATATTATGAAGAAACTTTTGTGTAGTAAAATGATCTCAAACATAATATTATATAACCAGGCAGTTGCATCAACTCAGTTGCTTCTGAGTGTTCATTTGTGTTGATGGCTTCAACACATGCAAGAAGATTTTTTGCTTAGGTTCTATATAAATAAACATTGTATCTACACATGTCATTTCAGATGAAAAGAAATAAAATAAATTTCTGTTCTATGAGGATAAGAGTGACAGTTTATTATAATGGTGTGTGGTTGACAAATGCAAGGTGAACTTAAGACTCCTATTCTTACTTTCCTTTCTACTTTTTGTATTGTTTTTTTTAAATATACATCTTTGCCTTTGACCATGTGTGTTTGCCTGACAAACATTGCTTGGTTATGAATTACTCTACCCGAGAGACCTTGAACAAATACAGAATTCATGTTTGAAAGGTGTTTTTATAGTAGCCACAATGCTAGCTAGCAAGGCTGAGCTGGTTGTCAAGGCCAACTTTTTGAACCCTGCAGGTGGGTGAACAGATAGAAATTACCATTTGTACTGAGTTAATGCAGAGCGGGCTTATACTGTGAAGTGGGCATCTTTTTGCCACTCTTCTGAGCATCAAAATCTTGCCAAAACATGGTGATTAGACTCCAGAAAAGTTTCTGAAATCCCTGGAAAAGACAAATGGTATCCGTCTCGTGAAGGAAGCTAAGACATGGGATTTTAAGGAAACAAACACAGAGAAGGAAAGGAGTCTAATTGAAGGCACAAGAAACAGAGACTTGCTTGCTAGATTTTTTATCTTATTACATTTTATTTTATCATTATCTCTTTTTGTTTTCTAATGAGAGACATAAAAACGGGATCCCAATGGAAGGGGAGGTGGGAAGAAACTGGGAAGAGTAGAGGGAGGGGGCACAGTCATCAGGATATATGAAATAAGGGGAAAACCTATTTTCAATAAAATGAAAAAGGAAACAAAGGAAGACTTAGCAGAAGGAAGGAAGAATACCTAAGATATAACTCAGTTTGATAGGGATGATAGTATGACTGATGATGACAAAGAATGGAAAATAATTAAAACTCAGAAATTCATATGCCATTTGACTCAAAGCACTGAGATATTTCATCCCCTCCCCCTTTTATGAACACTTTGTTCCGTTCATCTTTAATCCCAGCACTCGGGAGGCAGGGACAGGAGGATCTCTGTGAATTTGAGGCTAGCCTTGTCTACAGAGCCAGTTCTAGGACAGGCTCCAAAGCTACAGAGAAACATTGTCTCGGGAAAAGAAATGAAAGAAAGAAAGAAAACCACAGTCCAGACAGGGAAATAGTAGGGGCATCGCACCACTGTGGTAAGCGGGCAGCAAAGCAGAAGGAAAGCATCTTAAGGTAGATGCGTTGCTCTCGGCTAAGGCCAGTTGTAAGAGAAAAGGATTGTCACATGTGATGGTAACATGCGTCCCTGTTTATTTTATTTTAAGCTTTGTGGAAGCAGGGCCACCATGCCTCCCTCATGTTGGCATTACATCACCTCACAAGTTCACAGCCAGGAGGTTCAAACAGGTCCATGTCTACTTTTAAGGGACGAAGTATCCAGAAGATGAAATTTGTTTTCTTTTTATTTCTTTTGATTGTTTGCTTGCGGTAGGATCCCGTTCTTTAGCCCAGGTGGACTTCAAACTCGCAAAACTCCTGCTTCATCCTCTAGGGGATTACAGGCGTGTGTTGTCCCTTCTGACTCTCAATATCTTGACTTAAAGTCATCCTGCTTTTATCTATAGCATCGCCTGTGTCTGTGTGCTTGAGTGTTTGAAATGAACCTTTTTTTTTTCTCCTTAGGCTTTTCAGGGAGATAGACCACTTATAAGGACCCCATTTCTCCAGCACTCTACTCTCCTTTATGTTGGGGTCATCTTTATTTATTAAATGTACAAATGTGTGATTCTTTAACTAACTGATATAAGAAAGCTTCGGAAAGTATAACAAACTAATAGTATTAGCGCACTTTTGAAAAATAATGTTTTCTTCTTTATGGAAACATGTATTACAAACATTAGCATTGACCTTAAATAATTATTACCAAGATAAAATTAAAAGTATGGATTTGTTATATAAAAGTATTAAGTCCTGTTTGTCAAATGTGTCTTTTAAGGCAAGATACCTGATGGACTTTCATTACATTAAAATTGTGTTTAAAAGAGCAATCCACAAGTAATGCTTGAAAATATCACACTAATGAATCCATGTTAATACAATGCTTGCCCGAGACGTCCAGGGCAGGCCTCTCTCTGCCAGCTATCTGGCATCCGTATTGATTCTAAATAAAAGGAAATAGACTATCATGCAAAACATTCTAGACTTTCATCCCCATGTTTTCCTCCCAGGTATGACATAAAGAGAGCAATATTTAATTTAAAGGGCATAAAAATCCACATTGTCACTATAAATATAGAATACAATTTACAGATGCATCCAGAGAGGAAACGTGTCAGCTCATTACGCAGCTCCCTGACTTTGGCTTTCCAGTCTCAAAGCTTACGTTCCTCAATTCCATATGTCACAGAGAACAGTAAAGACATCTGAATTCCGATATTTTGAAGAAATGTGTATTTAGCAACTGAATACATGCTAAAAAGGAATACTTTACAGCAGCAATTTCGTTACATTTTCTCTCCAGTTTTCTCGTTCCTATCTGAAACGCAATGACAAATACAGATGCGGAACAATTCTCCACCTGGCAAAAGGCATGCTCGTGGGCGCACACTCTCTGCCCTTGAGTGGTACAGAAGCTACCGTGGTACTCGCGTAGGAAAGCTTGCACGCCAGGATGATGTTGTGCACACTGAAACGGAGCATCTATAGAAACCTGTATTTCACACTGCTCTTCCTCATCTTTTCAAAATTACTTACATCTCTGTGCCTAATGTGTAGGTAGCAAAAATATTAAACACATACCATTAGAAACCACTAAGCTGTACACAGAAGGAGCAGGGTGGATCTGCATGCATTTCCATGTTACTGTTGCTATCAGCGGGACCTGGGCTCTCTGCTGGGAGGCATCTGAGCTCTCAGACTTTAAGACTGTTGAGGTGAATATGCTTACGTCACATGCATCTCTTATGCAGGTCTCCCCTGGGATGCCACATGCATATGCCAAAGTCCATCTTGGTTAGTTAGGAAGCAGGACATTCATTCTTCGTGCAAACTGCCCTCTCTCAATACACATTGGCAGATTATGACTCTCATCGGACTTATTTATTCTCAAGTTGCACCAATTCCTTCCTTTGAAAACGCAGACGTGGTGATTGATAAAGACATGCCAGTATATGTGTTTGTTTGCAATATCTTTAATTGAAGCCTAAACTTTTTTTTTCTATTGCTATTTCATCGTGCTAAATCAAATGCATTCAGATTTTGGAATGCATCCATGAAATTATCATATAATCTTCATTCCTTGAACTCCTTTATTGTTAAGAACTAGAAATAAATGAGAGACTTAGTAATCACAAACAAACTTGTTTCAGCTGCAAATTTAGAATGGAACATAACATGAGCTGTTCGAATTGATAAAACCGTATGGCTTATATGGAGCACCCTGCTTTCTTTGACTTACTATTTCTGATATGATTCTCCTTTAAAAAGTGTGATCTTCAAGAAATTTCTTAACTCAGTTTGCCTTTGAGGATGTTCTTACAAAAGCAACACTATGTTAGTCAAAGAGCCTAAAATCAGATGTAGAATGTTTGGGGGCTTTTTATTTGAAAGATGTGTCAACAAATTGTTTATTTAAATAATCATTAAAACGGAAACATGAGCTTCCACCTGTGAAACAGTTCAGTGGAGAGGGAACAACCGTTTACTGCAGTTGAGGTGAGAAATTAATGCTTAGTTAATTAGAATCCTGAGACAACTAGAGTTAAAATATCAATGCCACTTCATTAATTAGCAGGAAGATGTTTAATTTGTATTCTGTGTATGTGTAAGGATCTGAGGAGAGAATCCTGAAGTGAAGAATGGTGTGCCAATGAGCTATTCTAGAACGCAGAAAGTCTTATGCAGTTTGAACTCAACGATTCTCTAGAAACCGTCTTCAGCCAACCAAGGGAGCAATTCTGAAGTATTTTGTATTCCTTATTAATAAAACAAGGAGTTTTGCACTGTCTAAGTGAAGTGTGTGTTCTGGAAATAGTTTATAAATTCATTCTCATTGAGATGAAAACACATGTTCTTCATACAAATAATTGTACTATAAATGGTAAAGAGAAATGTAGTTGATTCAGAAAGAAAAGGTTGGGAAGCGTCATTAAGGTATTCTAAATGTCATTGATCTCTTTCTCTCTCTCTAAAAGTCATTAAAAGATAAAATAATAGAATCCCTAGTGGAATGTGGAATCATGAGAGAGTCCTATGTCTCACATAGCATGCAAATATTCAAGCAAAGAATGAAGAGACATTTTATTAACACTATGATAGGACAATGGGATTTCCATGAGATACACACAGTTCTCTTTTTTCTGTGATCCTTCGGAATGCGTCTAATGAATGTCTTCTTTCCTTCTGTGCTGTCTTAATTTTTCAGTTGGCTAAGAACTTTATGCAACTCACGGTTAACTTAGATAATACCTTAAAAGTGGGGATGATGGGGAAACCTTCTATTTGTTTGCTTTCCTCAAAGGGAAAAATCATAAATCATCTCTTGGTTTTAATAATTAACAGTTAATGGCGAGAGTTGGTATCTAAAGTAATACACTAACCCCTTCAGAACTGAAAACAAAGTGTGAACAAGAGCAGCCCGCAGTTGAAAGTTTTAAACAGATTACACCGCACAATAAGTGTAAGACAAAAACCTACTCTAGCTTAGAAAACAGCTCCTTTTTACTGCATATTTGTCATGGTACATTTAAATTATAGTTTTAATAAAATACATCTTTAGATCAAAGCTGAAAGAAGACATCAGTAGTAGATCAGTGTATTCCATTCTTCTTCCGGATGATGGCTGGTTTATGTTTGTACATTTTCACACGCTATTTCACTCCGTCCCATTCGCCTTGTCTTACTCCTCCCGCACACACAAACGCGAGTGCCGGGAGACGAAACATCCTGGATTCCAGTCACGTTTTGGAATATTCATCTGCTTACTAAATCCATGCAGTTTATTTTCAACGCTCGCTTCAACAACATGGCTTTGCTGATACAGTTTTTCTACCCTCAATGGCAATATGGCAAGTGACATTTTTTTTATATTTCTCAGGCAAAGAAGAAAGCAAAATGAACTCTTGGAGGAAATACTAGGTCGGCTGATGTGAGCATCTCTGCTCACCTGCGATCTCTGTCAGGCCTCGGTACTCTGAAGAAAGCCTGCTGGGGAAGTTCCCCATGGCCTTTGATTGCAATTGGTGGATCCCAGTTGAATTTCCCACCACTGTAAACATCCACATAGTGCCTTGGACATGTCCATTGTGTATTGCATTTTTTCCAGTTATTGTCTAAGCAAGTTTGCACTTGTTCGAAGTTTTGGGAGGTGGTGCCGCTCAGACACTTCTGGGTGCCCTCTCAAACTCGTGGGTCCTCCTGTTTCTACCCTTCTTACTCTCCTGCATGTGCTTCCACTTGTTGCTGCTCCCTTGAGGGTGCCCTGGCCTCTGCCTGCGCTGCTTTCGGTCCCTTTTCCACACTTGTTCACAGAACTCGTCCATCGTGTTCAGGTTCGGGTGATTGATGAGCTGCATGAAGTCTCTGTACCAGACCTTCTGGCTGGGCGTCAGGCTGCTCGACATCTCTTTGGTCTTAGAGCCCTCGCCGTCATCATCTTTATGAAGAAGTTCCTCCAAATGGTCCGTGTCGATGACTTCCAGGGTCACCTTCAACAGAGTTTGCATGAATCCGTGCTCCACGGCGTGACACAGGTAGTTGCCAGAGTCCTTCTTTTGCAGACTGCGAAGCAGGAGCCCTTGCTCTGTCCTGATGATGTGGTCGCCCACTCTGATCTAGCAGGGGAAGGCAGAGGGAAACATGCAGATTTAAGAGGAATGCAAGGTCTGCCGTTCTGTTTAGAAAAACCTGATATTTGTTGAGGTGGGTTTTAGAAATGAACATTTTCAAGTCAAAATGTGAAAAAGTCTGTCTTGGGCAAAAAGCTATAGTGTCTACCAATTGTTTCTCAGATCCCTTTGAAAATTTCTTCAATACCACTGGTTCCCCCCCACCAATGGGACTTTCCAGGCTGTACTGTTTTTTTTTTAATTGATTTTTATTGAGATCTACATTTTTCTCTGCTCCCCTCCCTGTTTTTATAGGCTACCTTTTGTTATCAAAAATACCCAGGATAACCGGGGGAAAGAAAAATGATACATTTAAAATTCAAAAGCACATACACAAATATGATACAAAGTCAATATTAGATAATGAACTGGGAACTACAGGAATAAAAACCCAGAAAACAAAGTATTAAAAGGACTTCATAATATGACTTCTTAAGATCAGAATAAAATATCAGTATTTAAGCAAACAGAAGAAAACATGTGTTTTAGGGTTGGTGATTCATTTGTCAGCTGGAAAGTTCTGGGTGTAACACTATCTGAGGGTCCACTCGGGGATACATCTAGCCTCTCTTTGACTTTGGATCACCTTCACAATAGAAATCACAGAGAACATAACTAGTAATATACACAGCATCTTTACAGCTTACAATGTAATTCTATACCTAAGAAGGGCTTACCATGTCAAAAGACCCCAAACTAACAGGGGTTGTTTTCACTTTGGCGTTCATATTAAACTTGTAAAATTATATGCACTTAATATATTTTACAAGTGAATGAAGCATTCTGGTCACCTTTATTTAATACTCATAAGTAATTTAAAAAGCTTGGCTCTTCCTGTGTGGTTTTCCTTGTTTAAGTTGTTACACTTATAGGGGGAATGTATCTATTGAGGAGGAAGGTCTTCCTCAGGCTGTTTTAATAGTACCAGCATAGATGGTGGACTCAATTTCTTCATTCTACATCAAGGATGTACTTGATTCTCTCCGATCTTTTTCTCACTTGCAGAAGTTACACAGAAAGAGAAATGAGCATATATAGCAGAATTCAGCGAGCAAACTCCAAAATTCCAGGGAGGCTTGATTTTTTTTTCCTTTTAATTCGCAAATCTAGGATACATACTGCTTTATACCAGTCATGGCTGTAGTTGGAGTGGCGGGCTGTGGCCTGGCTCCCACATGGCTAGCTTTATACCCGAAATAACAACACACAAATTGTATTCTTTTAAACACTGCTTTGGCTCGTTAGCTCTAGCCTCTTATTGGCTAATTCTCACATCTTGATGAACCCATTTCTAATAATCTGTGTGGTACCACGAGGTGGTGGTTTACCGGGAAGGATCTTAACCTGCGTCCATCTTGGAGAGGAGAGCGAGCTATAGCATCTGCCTTATTGCCTTCTTTCTCTCAGAATTCTGTTCTGTCTACTCCACCCACCTATGTTCTGACCTATCAGGCCAAGCAGTTTCTTTATTAATTAACCAATGAAAGCAACAGATAGACAGATGTCCCTCTTCCATCACATGGCAAGAAATAAGGACTCTGAAATACGTGCCCAGAGTGCTTCCTGGGTAGGAACTCTTACCCAGCTGCATTTGTTTCTTTTCTGTAGTCTGCTACAAAAGCAGCTCACATTGGGTGCTTGTCTAAAGATCTATTGTTTGATTCTCCACTGTGTTGGGTAAGAAGTACTTTCCTTGCTCCAAGTCAACAGTACCACGGTGATTTAACATACGTATCAGACAGAAATAATTCAGTCAGCTGAAGTCTCATACCTCCTCCTTCCGATCGTCGTTTCGCCTCTGAAATTGCCAGTATACCAAGGCTCTCTGTGACTTCGGACTGCATTCCAAGAACGTGCTACTATTCTCTACTCCATAGATGATTCTCTGCTCAAGGCTGTGCCCATGGTGATTATCTAGGCAGTGAGAAGAAGGGGAAACAAGAAAATGTTAATTAGTAACTGCATTTTCTAAAACATTTATTCGGAAATGCGGAAGAGAAATTATTGCGTATGTAGAAGTCATTTTCAGGTCAATAAAAGACGAAGAGCAAGTCAAGGATTTCAAAACACAACTACTTGCCTCAGTATATGAATCCTTTTGTTTCGGGTTATACAGGCAGAGTTTTGTCTACCAGCAAGTAGCATCAAATGAACAGCACTGTGCATGTTCACTATAACCTTGGGTCTTTGTACTATGGACTCAGGACGTGCAGCCCGTTTGTTATCCTCTTCCCTGGCAGGAATGTTATTAGATTCCATTTTTGAATAAAAGAGCTGTATCTGACAACTCTGTTTTGCTGCTTTGTAATTGCTTTTCATCTGTGAAATTAAATTCACCTAGCAATACTATCTCACAGCTTACAAAAGGTAGAGCTCAGAATGTTTATGCTCTCCACCAATAACCTCTGAAGAATTCACAAGTTTGTTCTGAAGACCAACTGATGTCAAATGTTTGGGATGGCTCAGTGGAAACTCACATAATTACAATGCAATATGGTTTCAATTGTTCTTACTTAAAAACGACATACCCTTTGTTATTTTCCAGAGTTAAGCTGTGGACCATGGCAAGAGCACATAATAAAAGGCAGCAATACAAAAATCTGTTTCCTGATTAAGTTTCTATTATTTTGCCCTTTTTGTAACCTCCTCCAATGTGGTAACTGAAACATAGCTCAGATCAAAAGTATGACACAGAGAGGCTAGGTAAAACTCAGCGAGAGAACCAAACTCGGGGCTATCTTGTGTAATCCTGTTTCCATTATGACATCCTGAGCAATCTGGAACTCATTAAATTAATTTAGAAAATAATAAATATATTTTCACATGCACAGAGAGCTGACAGTGTAGACAGATGAAAAATTTCTCCTCTCTCCTTCAAATTCCGCTAGGATTTTAATTTTAAAAATGTTTCCCCTCCTCTTCGGCATCACTTTGACAGTTTTACTCTTGTCTTAATCAACGTAGTACTTTTGTCTGTCATAAGCAATAGGATTTGCTTACGCTAGGCTTAAAGCTTTTGAAAACTTCTATTCTCATCCCTGGTGTAGCCTATGCTTCCCACTGCCCAGCTCTTGGTGTGTAGTAAGGAACGTCGACCACGTCATCATTCCGAGCCTCAGCCTCCACTGTCTGCTTATCAACTGACAATCCTTCTGACCCTGGCACATAGATCTCTCCCTTCTTCTTAGACATAAATGCTCTGAAAATAGCAAAGGATGCAATTTACAATGAAACTAAATGACAATTAGTTGATTCTGATTCACATTGTTTATCACGTTTGGTACATACATATATTTGTATTTGTATGTGTATGTACATGTGGACTCTAAGTTCCATAGTGAATGTGACATGCCTTTCTCCCCTCTCTACATGTCTCTGTGTTACTCTGTAAGACATCTGTTCCCTAGACAGAGGAGAACTGCTGGGTGCAGCAGGGCCAGCAAATCTGGGCCTCATAACCTGCCACAAATAATTAGAATGCTTTGCCATGGAAGTCGATGGTGTTTATATTAAGGGTAAACTTGCTAGGTCAAGACATGTTTGGACACTTGGAAAGATAGCCTCCACCGTGTCTCAGTGCTTGAATTGCAACATATATGATACCACGATAACAGAAAATCCCACTAACATTCTGTTAACACCCATGTCCTCTAGGCCAAATATCCTCATGATGGAATTGATAAATACGATGGAATCATCAATAGAAGTCTACGTGTTTTTGCTGATGCAGAGTGAAGAAGACCAGTGTGTCTTCAATAGTAGAAGAGATCTTCACTATAAATGGGTTTGTCCGTGGACTGGAGAGATGACTCTGGAGGCCAGAGAACGTGCTACTCTTGCAGGTTTGGTGCCTACACAGCAGCTAACAATGGTCTGTAAGTCCAGTTACTAGGCAATCTGGTGACAGCCCCCAGCCTCTGTGGGGACTACACATACGTGATACATATATATACAGACAGACAAAACATTCATGCACACAAAACCAAAACACAATCTAACAAAATCAGAATACATCTAATAGGATTAAAATGCGATATGCAAAATTCTCAAGTAACAAATCAAAATATTTTGAAATCGCAGTCTGACTTGTCTCTTTGCCATTTAAACTAAATATTTCTTTTAGCACTGCATTTTATTTTAATTTAGCTTTTATTTTCTTTTTAGTATTTTTATTTCTTTTTTTTTTCTTTATTGTCTTTTCTAGTAGGAAGAAAACTTTCTCAAGTAGCAAGAGGAAATCATCCTAGAAACAGGTATGTTCTCATACGGAGAAAAGCATCTCTTCTGTTCTCTTTTTAATTAAGTCTCACACAAAATGCTGTATGACTTAACAGAAAATTTATATCATGATGCTTATAGTTCATCTTTGAATGTAATGATTTTCTTTAAGAAACATGATAATCACCACATTCTCAGTACCCAAGTGAGGGAGAAGCACCTGGCTATTTTGGTTCCTGAGCTTGGTGTCTCTAGTTAGTTTGCTTTGATAACTACTCTTGCCAATCCTTAAGGACTGTTTGTCTACTGAGGTGACCCCTGCTTTTTCCCCTTTCTGCAAACAAAGAGAAAGAGAAACGTCTTCTAGCTAACAACCAGCGGCCCCCTACATCCTGTTCTAATAACTATTTGTCACAATCAGCACAGAGATGTCCTCCGGTATGGCTTCAGTTACAGATTCTCTTATTCGTGTTGTTAGGTTGATTCTCTGCCTCAGCCAGAAAGATAAAAGGTAAATTTCCATTGTTGTCAGTTTTTTTTTGTTGTTGTTGTTAATTTCTCTGTAGTGTGACCTATATACCGTTGCCAACTTCTAATCTAGGACCAGAACATTCACGTAGATGACCTCAGGCAAATGCCCTACACTTCAGTATTCAGAAGCAGTGACTGTGCCAAATTCATATTTACTTCACTTTATGCTTTATAGATGCTGTATAAACATTCTGAACGTGACATTTAGGAGGAAATGAGGCATCCATTATCGATTTTGACTCTTCTTCCTCCAGCGACTTGCAAAGTGCTGGGCAGCACAGGAAATGCTGAAGATACAACATCCGAGCTTCATTGTCTCAAGACCCCCATCACAGCAATCCTTTCTTCTCATAAAAAGGTGTACACAGGAGAAATATGATTTCCATTGTTATCTTCTCATCATGCTTGATATTTTGTTCATTATCTATTTTCAAGAACAGTATTATTTTGTAAGAGCACCATACTTTAATTTCATAGAAGACATTGAAGGCAGTTATTCCATTTGAGTCAAATGTTTACCAATGACATAATGTTCATTAAAAGTTTCCTGCAAGATATATAAAGTCTTGCGTATTTGCGATTAGTATAATCTGAAATCTCCCGCTGGATCAGGCAGCTGCCCGGAGAGCGGCTGTCCTGCAACAAAGAGTGTTAATGGATAATTTATTCTATCAAAGCCGTGTTGGACTGGGAACGTGGTGGTTGCTGAAGACACCTATAGCAATTCTCGACTGTGCTGCTCACTGGGTTTACGTCACAAATGTTCCGAGTCTGGAGCCTGCTGCCTTACAGTCTTTTCTGTATGTCCACCTTTGGGAAACATCATTTCCTGTTTTGGGAGTTATTGAGATTCTTTTATAATGACTGGCTAGGGAAAAGGAACTCTGTGATCTTCCTCCCCTCTCTGCTGTCCTCGAGAACACCATCAGGCAAATGGGTAATATGCCCATGACATCTCAGGAAATCTATTCTCACCGGTGACTTTTGTTCTCTTACAGAACACACTCTGAGTGTTTCTCCATACTGCCATTTATGCTTTGCCTTATTTCTGCTTTAGTAAAAGAAAAATGATTATAAACTATCTTGAACATATTATAAAGATTTATAACACCTAGAGAATATGTGTGTAGCCAGAACTTTAATTTTTTTCTATTTCTTAAAATACATCTTGGTGATGTCATGATGTGGCTTCCATGAGATGAGATTCTCATTTATGATGTGGGGATGGAGCTGCAGCCCAGGCTGGCATGAAACTCACAGGGCCCCTGCCTCAGCTTCCCGATTGCTGGGATTGTAGGAATGCACTATCACATCTACTGTGATTTCTAGGCTAGCTAAGAAAAAAAATGTTTAAGTATATCCTTGTTACATGTTTAGAAGATACCAGAACTTTACAATCGTACATCTAGCTGTCATCTAACAACTGGACTTTATACAAAACTGTTTAAAAAGTAATAAACAACCATTTTGCAATTTAAGTCTCTCAGATCATTAAATTGCAAAAGAAAAACCCAGAATAATTCACTATAAAATTGCCGGTTAGGGCCGGAAGAGAGGACTAGGTGGTCAGGAGAACTTGCTGTGCAATCACCAAGACCTGGCATTCAGTCCAGCAGTGGTCTGTAACTCCTTCTGGGAGTAGTGTGCAGGCAGGAAAATGGCTGGGGCCTGCTGCCTTCCAGGCCAGTGAAGGAAACATAATCTCTTGGCCTAGAATATCAAGAGACATTGCTTCGAGAGATAGAAAAGACACTGGGTCTCTTCTTCTGGTCTCTCTGTATGTGCACACATAGATGTGCTGAAACCCCTAGACGGAGAGACACATACTACAGATAAGCAAGTCTTTCAAAACTAAGCTAAGCTGAAACTGCCAATTGTTTTTCAGTGAAGAGGATTAAAATTCCATCGCCACTTGTCTTTTTATCAATTTTATTTTAATTTCAGAAAAAGCAGAGATATTTCTCAGAAAGTATATTCAGCATTATTAATGTACTCCCATGGCTTCAACATGTTTGGCATTANTACATGGCATCTTCTTGACTTAGTCTACTCTCTCTCTCTCCCTCCATGCATGTATGTATTATATGCTTGCATGCATGCATACATATATATGTGTGTATGTATATATATATACACACGTGTGTGTATGTATTTTTATGTTCATA